CAGTTATAGGTCATTTTAACCAATGCCTAAAACTCCTATTTCCAAGCCTCAAATGGAAAAATTCAAAACATGAAAGTTGCTCAAAATGTGATTTTAAGTCTAGAAAGAAGGTCACAAATTGTTGAAAAGGCTCATAGCACAAGATTCCATGATTGGTCAAAAATGAACTAAAAATGACTTATAACTTTGAAAAGTTGAAATTGAAAAGTGTTTTGGGAGATCTACAAATCCAAATGGGGTCATCCAATAGTCCATTTTCATTGAAAAACACATTTTGAGAAGAATGGTTTTAATAGAATTTTGATTTGGGCCTTAAGAAATGAAGTTTGTTTGAAAAAAGATTACTTGAAAAAGAAGGTACCATTGGAAAATCTTACACAGGCCCATTTTCCTTCACATTTTGGTTCAAGGAGTGTTAATATGTCACATAATGGATGCATGGCACGAAAATAAGGAGATATGCATGGGTTATGGCATGTAGAAACATGTTCATGCATGGAACTTTCCATGAGTTTCTAGGAAGTTCTAAAGAGCTCTAGAACATTCCATGAATTGCTATAAAAAGAGTATTCTTCATAGAAGAGAGGGTTGGTGATTGAGAGAGGGTGATAGAGAATTTGAGAGAGAGAGAGCTTCCATTGAAGGTGTTGGTTCAAAGTTCAAGAGATCAAGAATTCTGCCATAACCAAAGCTTCTCCACCAGGATCTTTGCAAAGAGAACTTCAATCACTATCAAAGGATCATTCTCCCTCCATTACAAAGCTTGCAAGCATTGACCACGAGCATACACCATCTCTCTTTGACAGGTTCTTTCTCATCTTTATACCTCATAATTTATTAGGTTTTAGTGGGCCTCATAGGTATAGAACTCATGTACTATAGTAGTAGATGTAATCCTGAGAGTTTGAGCGCATATAGCTAGGGTTTGCAGCAGGTGCAACATTCTTGGATCTTGAATTACAAGCTAGATTTAGGGTTGCAATCTTAGGTAATTAGTGCAGAATGATCCCCTTAGCATGTAGATGATTCTAGGTTAAGAGTAGCTCAATTGGTTTCCCTGCAAAAATGGTGAATTCAATGGTACCCGGAACTTCCAGCCATGATATCTCTTTATTGCTTGAGCTTTAAGAAAATATAAAAGTACAGTTGTGTAGAGGAGAATGAGTACTACAATTTCCATTTTTATATCGTGTAAAAAGGTTGAGAGATGAGAGAGTTAGAGGAGCTCGAAGATTGCCACAAAAACTGCTCGAAACCCTAGCTTGGTGGTTCAGGGAAGAAGACATAATCCCATCCGTCCACGCGCTTTGACTCCCTTGACTATTTCTTTCCATCGGATGGCCATGATTTGGACACGCAAGCGGAGGGAAGACTGACTGCAAAACGACGCGTTTTGGATTAGTGACTCATATGGGCTCAGAAGTGAATTGCTACTCACACTCCTCTCCTTGGCCCAACATTCATTTGCACGTGTTTCTTACTTAATTCACACCCCCCTTCATTTTTATTTTCTTTTTCTTTTCTGAACATGGAATGGGCCTCGCTCCTTTTACTTTTCGCACCCCAGCACTTAACCCACCTACTGATCGCACCCCTCTCCCATTTCATGTTATTTTAATTCTTTTAATTTCTTTTTAGTATTTCTCTGTTTTGTATAATTCATATAAAATAGATAAAAAATGATTTTTAATTTCTTCTTTTTTTCCTGAGTAGATTAAAATGAGTAGAAAATTATAAAAATAAAATTGAGATTTTATTTTTATGTTTGATATTTTTGGTAGATTTTCCAATTAAATAGCTTTTTAATTGGTTCATTTTGATATTTGATTTTGTAGGAATTGTTTTAGTACTTTCCATTAATCTTTTTTACCCATTCTTTTTTGTGCAATTAGATGGTTAGTCATGCTTCCCCATAGGATTTTTTCTAGATTTTTTAGAATTAATCTTGGTTAGTTTAATTAGGGTTGACTTTGGTTAGTCTAATTAGGGTTTAGAATTGTGCATAGGTGATGATTCCTTTCTTTGATTGAGTTTTATCTTGATTTTTAGGTAGAAACCTTTGTAGATGTTAGGGGTAAGTGTTGAGGACCCTTATGAATATTTGTTAATTTTTCCCCATTAGTTTAGCATTTTTAGGTATTTTCTGAGTTGCCTGATGATTTGGTTTGTTCAGTGGGTTATCTGTTCATCCGTGGGGATCTTTCTGAGGAATTTGCTGAAGGGCTTGTGTTGCCTTGAGGATATTGATGGTGAGCATCATAAGGAGAAGCCTGTAGATCAAGATGCAGAGACCCAGAGCTTGTCTCATCTCCTGTCTGTGAGGTTTGAGAGCCTGAAGTTTGAGGGAAGTTCATGGTACTTTCCTGAGGAAGGCACTATGAATGACTTTCATTCTTCCTTCTCACCTCTTCCTTAAGTATCCAATGATGTTGGAGCCAACTCGTGAGTTTAATTTCTCCTGAGGAGGAATGTAAACTGATCACATGTTGTTGAGCCACATGGGATACAACTCCTAAGTGGAAGCCTCCTAGTACTTTCCTGAGGAAGGTCCTATGGGTCTATTCACTTAGTTCCACTAGTTGATCTAGGATTTCTCAAGTATCCAATGATGTAGGAGCCAACTTGTGAGTTTAATTTCTCCTGAGGAGGAATGTAAACTGATCACATGTTGTTGAGCCACATGGGATACAACTCCTAAGTGGAAGCCTCCTAGTACTTTCCTGAGGAAGGTCCTATGAGTCTATTCACCTAGTCCCACTAGCTTAAATAGGATTTCTAAATATCCAGTGATGTTGGAGCCTGCTTGTGAGTTTAGTTTCTCCTGAGGAGGAACGTAAACTGATCACAGTGGTTGAGCCACGTAGGATATGACTCCTGAGTATACACCTCCTGGTGCTTTCCTGAGGAAGACACTATGAGTATGATTGCTTAGCTCCCTGTCTTTGGTAAGCTTATTCTGAAGCTTGAAGGCTGGGAATGATTGCTCCTGTTTAGGTTTGTGCTTGAGAGCTTTGCTTAGATTTGTTTAGATTCTGTGATTAGGGTTAGGGTTAGGGAATAGGTGATTCTTTTTCAAATGTGTTTTGTTTGCCTGATGGTACTTCATTTCCTTTATCTGTATGATTGCAGTTTACTGTTTTGCTTGATAGCATGTTGATTATTTTCAGTATGATTACTGTTATTTCATGACTGGCTTGAGGTTGAGATGAGCTTGTGGAGGCTGAAACCCCACACACATTTCCTCCCTCACTTGCATTGCATGCATTTTACTGTTAAAGCTGATGTTTTTGTCTGTATTCTGTGTATCATTGACATGATCCCTTAGGGCTCTCATTTCCTTTGATGAGGATTTGATGATAGACTTTTAGGTTGAAACCTATGCATGACAACATCTAGGAGTTCCCTGTTCAAACCTCAACCATAGGATGAATCCATGGCATGATAACAGTAGGACTTGATAGTCTCCCTCCTAGTTGAGCTGTTTCCTGTAGTTTCCCGAACTACGTTTGCTCTGATCTTTCATACCAGATGAAAGTACGTAGGCATAGGATGCGATATCCTAGCGAGCAACCTTCCCCATTTTTCCCCCCGTAGTTAGCCGAACTACGTTGACTCTGATTTCTCATTCTCTGATGAGAATACGTAGGCATAAAGTGCGACGCTTTGCCGAGTCATTTTTCTTTTCTTTTTCAGCCAGCCTTGATAGGTAGATAGATTATAACCAACCCGTCCAAGTAAACAAACAAGCGAGGATCCCGTCGAGTACGACGGACGTGAGGGGTGCTAATACCTTCCCCTTGCGTAACCGACTCCCGAACCCAGACAATGGTTGCGATGACCTTGTCTTACCCTTTTTTTCGTCAGGTTTTTCCGATCGTTTCCTTTCCCGCTCTGAGGGATAAATAACGAAAGGTGGCGACTCTTCTGTTTTGCCGGCACCTTATTTTCGCGCAAGCGACACTTTTCATATTCAATATCAACATAAAAGGAATAACCATTTTTTTTCACTAAAATTTTTCTTGCAACTAATTAAAAAGATCAACATCAACCAATATTCTACCTTAATGACCAAAGTTTATATTAAAGAAGGACTTACTTGTATTATTATCTAAACATACAAACATACCCAACTACCAAATAACATGTACTCTATCGTTATATTTGATAGTCCAAATTTATTGATTCTTCAATGAGTCTAAAAATAAAATACTTTATTATATTAAAGAGCATAGTATAATATTTAACTTTCAATTATTAACCCCATTATTAAATTAAAAAGTATAATATAATTTTAACTTTCAAATATTAACCCTAAATATCAAGAAAAAAATTACGTACTCCCTCCGATTTTATTTATAAAAGACAAATTACTTTTTAAATTTATTCAATAATCAATATATCTAATTTAATAATAAATTAGATACATTAATTATTCAATGAGATTAATTAAAATATATGTCAAGGGAAAACTACTTTACACTGTCATCCAATTATAATAAATCATTTTGACACATAATTATGGAATTAAAAATTAAAAAAATTAAATTATAATTAAATTATTTTAATAACTACTTGTCAAAATCATTCATTTTAATTGAATGACAATGTAAAATGTAAAATAGTTTTATGGTGTATTCCAATTACTCTCTCTTATTCAATAATTTTAAAAATATAGTTGCGTGTATAAATAATGTGACATATAATTAATATTTAATTAATTTTATATACATAAAAATCATAATAATAGAGAAAATGGAGAAACAAAAAAATTGAGTGGATCTCAACCCATCTTTAACCCAAGCCAAAACATTAAGCAAGAAGTTAGTATTACCTATTAAATAAATAAATAAATAAATAAACATCCGTCTCATGTCCAAAACTGTAAACATAAAGAACAAAATAACTTAAATTCTAAATTGCGCCGCGTGCGCACAGTTATCCTTATCTGATTCTATCTATCAGTCATTCTTTCAGTGAGAACGTTCATCTTCTCCAAAGCAATGGCATTTTCTTCGCTCAATTCAATTCCTCTTTCATCGTCTTCCTCTCTTACCGCTCCTTCCCTTCGCGCATTCTCCTTCTCCTCCACTCTTCCATTTCCCCAATCTAATTTCCACTTTCACCAAAACAGGAACCACCATTCCAACTTCACCGTTAAAGCAGAAGCCCTAGATTTTGCCAGTTCGTTCCTTGAAGACGGATTTGGTCCAGAAGATGTCCCGTTTTCTTCCGGATCCGGTTTTGGTTCAGGCGGTGACCCGTTCAATGTCGGAGCCGGTTTTGCTGCCGTTGAAGAAAAACCGGAACCACAATGCCCGCCCGGACTCAGACAGTACGAAAGCATGGTGATTTTGAGACCTGATATGTCTGAAGATGAGCGTCTTGCAGCCACTCAGAAATATGAGGAGGTTAAATTCTATCTCCCTTGTTACTTGTTACTGCTTAATTTGAATTATCAATTAACTGTTCTATAATGAGTTTGAAACTTGATGAGTAGGTTGTGTTTATGTGTCTGATATTAGAGGGACCTGATATGTTAGAATTGCAGAATTCATAATTCTAATAGGATGAATTGATTCGATTCGGAAAACTATGAATTAATGTTATGATAATCACAAATTGCTTTGTGAATTATGTGATTTATGCAGGAATGGTGTGGCATAAGGGCTACCGAATCAACTCGAAAATAGTTCGAAATTCGATTCGACAATTAAATCGTTGAACTAGGATCATGAACCAAATGAGTTGAGTATGAGCGAAAAATTAAGTTCGTTAACTAAATAAGCTGAACTTGAACTATACATAGTTCGACTCGATAGGTTCATGAGACAACTCGATTACATATGAGAAGAATTATACTGTCTTTAAGATTAGGTTTAAATATTTAATCTTCAATTTAGTAGTTTTTGAATTAGACTCTCAAATGTATCTCTTGAAAGTTGTGTAGGTTTTGAATTAGTAGATTTCGAAGATAAAGTTAAATTTCAATAGGATAACTTTTATTTTATTTTAATATTTTATTTTAAAAATATATATTTATTTAAAATGTCAAATATATTAAAATATATATATATTTAAAAAAATAGTTTTTAAGTTCGTGAATCATGTAAGCTGAACCTAATGAGATGAATCTAACGAGTTGAACCGAACTGTTCGTGAACTTATAACGAGTCGAGTTTGAGCTTAAAAAAAAGTTCGCGTCGAACTCAAACTCGAACCAATTCTTAACGAGTCGAGCCGAGCTGAGGTGAGTTCAACTCGACTCGACTCATTTCCAGCCCTAGGCATAACGGAATGGAGTGGCATGGTTCCATTCCATTCGATCACTTATCATCGTATTTCTTCCTCTCCAAGGGCAAAATGAAGAAATTGCCTTGTTCCTTCCTAAAATGTCCAAACAATGGAATGAAATCTTCATTCTGCTCCGTTCATTTTATGATATCCAAACATAGCCTAAATGATTCGGTGGTTATTTATTTGTTAGTTTATGTTACCAATTCTCATTGAAGAAACTCAAAACTTGGAGAAGCTTAAACCGTTGATTGATGAAGGGAACTAGAGGAGCACTAGTGAATGCACTGCAGTTTGGTTGTGTCTGTTTCTTTGTTTTCAATCTTTCAAAACAGACACTTGATTACACTAAACACCTTGTTTGATTAAGTCATTGCTCTGTTTTGTTCTTCACAAACACATGCTCCATTCAATCACTTTATGCCTTTCCTAAAAGAAAGGAAGATTGATGTTATGTCCATAAACAATGTTGTGGTACAAACTCTAAGGATGAATTACCGTTTTATAAAGAATCATAACTTGTGAATTCGCACTGTTACTTATGAGTTGAGTGTTATTTACCTATTATTTTGTTCTGTCGGACTTATTGTCTAAGTTGTTTTCTCGATTCATAGCTTAAAATTATTCCATTGAGCACTATACTTCATTCAGAGGACATATTTCAAGGTGCTCTACATTATGTCTCTGAATCTTGCGATTTGATACAGTTTATGATTTAAAAATAAGCTTCATAATTATAAATTGCGCAAACTAGATTTTTACACCATTCTATTCTCAATTGAATAAAAAACACTATTTCTATGATTTTTCTTTGTGCAGCTTCTTGTTGCTGGAGGTGGCATGTATGTAGAGGTTTTTAACCGGGGTATTGTTCCACTATCATATTGCATCATGAAGAAAAACAAAGATGGAGAATCTAACACCTATATGGACGGCATCTACCTCTTATTCACCTACTTCACAAAGCCGGAGTCCATGAAAGCCCTTGAGCAGACACTATTGACGGATGACAATGTTCTCCGATCAACAAGCTTCAAGATCATCAAGAAAAAGAAAAATACCTTGATATTTTGAGTAGCTCTGATAAAAGGATGGATAGAAAAAAAGAATGTAGCATTCATCATTTGTTGTCGTGGTATGCTCTTTTCATTTTCATATGGATTCAAGTATCTCTGTAACATGCTTGTATTAAATTAATAGAGGATGTATCATGTATGTGCTATTACTTAAAAGCCAACGAGTCTATAGAATTTTGTTGAAGGATTCATATTAGACAAACACTAGAAACTGTTACTCAAAAAAATAACATGTTTGTAATTTCTTACATATAGTCTTTATAAACTAATGTTCCATAATCACTGGATCAAGTAATGTGAAAAAAACAAATACAAAATCAGATTGAGCTTGAATTCTACTTAGGGTTTGAATGGGGCAAAGACAACTACTGAATTGTGTCCACCAAATCCAAATGAATTGGAGATAGCTGCAAAAAGGATAATAAATAAAGGTCAATAACATATAGTCTTTTATTTTTTCACTTTTAGTAATATTCACAATTTCACACAAAAAACAAAAACTTACTTACCAACATTAACTTCATGCTTTTTCTTAAAATTAGGGACAGTATCAATTGTAACATCCTCTTCCAAATTCTGTAGAAAAATCAAAAACAAAAATCAGATTTATTATTCATTAAGATTGTGTGAGAGTCAAATAGATGAAACCTTTTTTGAACATGTTGGTTAGGCTAAGACAGTACATCTTGGTTAATGGTTGGATGCAACCAGCCTGTAGTTATTGCTTTGATGGTTGCTATAGCTTCCAAGCCACCAGCAGCACCAAGACAATGTCCAATCATTGACTGAAAAAAGAAAGATAAGCTTCAAGATCAATAAGAGAAAGTTGTTAGGGCTCTAAAATATTTAAAAGTATATAAATTTCTTACCTTAGTCCCATTCATTTTTAGTTCTGATGTATCCTTAAAAACCTTTTTGATTGCATTAACCTCAGCCAAGTCACCAGCTAGTGTTGATGTAGCATGAGCATTCACATAGTTCACCTTAACAGTTTAGAAATTAACCAATTAAGATTCATCAATTTTACATAAATTTGAATCAGATTGAGTTTGATGAAATCAAGGTGACACTGATTTTGATAAAGATTCAAAATATATCTTTTGCCAAAATCTCGACTATGATTCTGCCAAATTCACTGGTACTGCACATGTTACCTCTTCGGGGGAAACACCGGCGTCTTGTAAACTCTTGCTTATGCAAGATGAAACTCCAAGTCCGTCAGATCTTGGATCAGTCATGTGATGAGCATCGCATGTTATGGCACCACCCAAATATTCAGCAATTATTCTTGCTCCTCTCTTTGTTGCACTCTCCAAGCTCTCCATTATCTTCCCTCAATGATACAAAAAATCAAGTTCGAAGAAAAACTCATAAATACACAATGGTACTATAACCTAAAATAAGGATCAGACTCGAGTAAACTAAGTAACATCAACTCGAAAACTCGTGAAACAAAATGGTAAGTTTGAGATTCTACCAGGACACCAGAGCCTTCACCAATGACAAAACCATCGCGGTTTTTGTCCCACGGTCTTGAAGCCTTCTTAGGCTCATCATTCCTGTGAGACAAAGCCCTGCAAGCAATGAATCCTCCAACACCAGAAGGTATAATCGAAGCTTCAGTACCACCAACCACCATAATATCTACTTCACCACTTCTAATGTGATGAGAAGCTGCACAAAAACAGTAATTTGCTGTGGCACAAGCAGTAGAAATGGAATAATTTGGCCCCATTAGTCCTGTGTCTATAGCCAACAAAGCAGAACTCATGTTAATGGTGTAGGGAATGAAAGATGGATTAATCTTTTCATGTCCTCTGTGAGTGAGAGCATCAACAGCAGTGTTCATACTACTTACACCTCCCATTCCTGTTCCCACTAGAACTCCCATTCTTGTTCTGTCCATCTGTTAGAAAAGATAATGATAAACTATACGTTATAACATCGACTCCGAAAAATACAAATAATAAACACAAGGTATTTATTAACAAATTTCGACCAATTCTACCAACTTCCGAATTAGTTTTTGACTTACATTGTTGAGAGCTTCATATCCAAGATTAGCATCTTCAAGTGCCCTCTTGCCTGCTACTAAACAATACCTCGAGCAATCATCGAGGCACCGATCATTCTCGCAATCAATGTAACCTTGTGAAGAAAAATCGCGTATCTGACCGCCGAAACGGACGGGGAAGCTTGAAGCATCAAACCTATCTATTAGGCTTATTCCACTTTCTCCTTCAAGAAGCTTGTTGTAAAATACATCTATGTCACTGCCAAAGACTGAAACAAGACCCATTCCTGTTATAACTACTCTCTTTTTTGGATCTTTCTCTCTTTGAGGAGCTGCTACATTTGGTGAAGCCATGGCCTTGATTCTCTTGCATTTCTTGGCTGCAATATAAGTAGAAAGCTTCAACTCCAATATTAAAACTAGATAAACATCAAGAATATTGAGAAAAAAAAAGGATATTTGAAAGGTTGAAAAATGGAAGGAGAATTACATGTAGCTAAAGTATAGCTTTTTGGCATGCATGGAGTTGAAAGCATTTGTATTCTTTGAGAAAATCTAAGACCTTCATGCTGAACCAAAGATACCTCAAAAAGACATGTACTAGAAAAGCCAATGCATGCCATGATAATTTTTTGTGTGAAAAATGTGGGATTTGATGTTGATTTTACATGCAAAGGAGTGAAGTTTCAAGTATGAGTTGTCGGTGGAAGAGGAAGAGGAAATTATATAAAAGGAAAGATTAGTTTTCAGTTTTGTTTGTAAAGTGTGCCACTGGTTTTATTTTTCCTGAATTGTATGTAAACAAACTAATAGTTATGGGGAAATAAACATCGTTGCTATGAGTTTTGGTTTACATTTCTTTCCTTTTAAGGAATGATATTTTGATACATAGAATCAGACGTCATCTAGGTCGAGACTAACGTGTTAAAAAGATTAAAAGGATCTGAACCGAGTATATGAGTCCACTCTCTTTCAAAGTTTAATATTACGATCGATCTTAAATAAATTGATCTTTACGACTATGAAGTATTGTCTATTTTAAATGTAAAAAAAGATCGTTTTGTAATAAAAAAATATCACCTAATTTAACTACCCACACTATTTCATTTATTCAAGCTTCAATAAATAATGGCACATCTTTCAAAAAAAATGGAAAATTTGTTGGTGGACTGTGATTATTGTCCAAACTACTAGACTGACACATTCAAAAAATACGTACTACAAAGTTCAACAATAAGTTTTTGTGTGAGACATTTTGTCTTAAAACAAGAGGTTCTTTAAATTGTTATATACAACAACATTTATTATTTTTATTTATTTGTACTATTATCTAATTAATATTCTCTGTAAATTGTTATATACAACAATATTTATTATTTTTATTTATTTGTACTATTATCTAATTAATATTCTCTGTCCCACAATATTTAGTGTAGGTTTACTTTTCTCTACTTTGACTCGTGTGACACGATTCTATCAATGATAGTTTATCTATCAATGATAATTTATAGAGTGGTAAAACGGTTTCGATTCTGTTGATCATGTCCGTATTTTATTGCGGGACGGGTCAAAGGTTTAAGTCTTCCCTCTCTAAAATGTCAGTCATATTTTATCATTTTTTTCAAAAAAAATTCACATACACGAGCATTTACATAAATTTGTGTTTTTATGTTTAAAAAGTGAGGCTCCTCTACAATTTTTCTGTCTTGCCTTCACTTTTTTGTAGAACAAACTTAAATTTTAAATTCACATTTCAACTATGACCGTCCCGCCTCGCCCCTATTTTTTTTCTTCGGATTTTTGCGGGCTGAATCTAAATGGAACATACCCATTTACCACCCTATATTATGTCTCAATTAAAATTAAAGCCAAACTTATATTTATTTCTCCTCTGATGTAAAAAAAAAAATTCAATATTTAAAAATATAAGTAAATATCATATATAATTATTATATTCAATATCATTATTTTAAATATATCTCTATTTTTTTATTTATATTTTTGCATTTTAACTATTGTGTTAATATACATTTTAGTCTCAGTTTTTTGAGGCGAATTCGAAAAAGAATCTGTAAAAAAAACATAATTTTCGTCCTGTTATTTTTCAGTGAACACAATTAGCAAAATTAGCAAAATCTGTGATATGACGCTGTTTTATTGATTTTTTTTTTAATGTAACGCGTCAGTATTGTTGAAATTTTATTATTTGTATATTGAAATGTTAAAAGATCAAAATTAAAAACTTTATCCACCCCAAGTGTTAAACTCATGTCCTTTTACTTACAAGTGACACCCTCGTACATTAAGTTAGTTGTTTCCTTTGATTAATTATTTGTAACAAATACTTATATTATACTTTCAATTTACTATTTATACAAATATTAATATTAATTAAATACTTTCAGTTTACTATTAAAATATTTATAATATACATAATTAATATTAATTAAAATATTTAATATTTAATATAAACTAAACTAAACTAAAATATTTATAATATACATAATTAATATTTAATGTTTAATACAGTTTATTTATTTAATATTTAATATTTAATATAAACTAAATTAAATTTTATTCAATTCCAGCATTTCAAATGTTTAAATAAATTAAATTTTATTCTAATATTTTATTTATAAATTAATATTAAAGTTTTCATAAACTAAACTAAATTAATATTAACGTTTGAACATAATTAATATTAATATAAACTAAACTAAATTAAACTAAATTAATTTTTTTTAACATTTTAATAATTAATAAAAAACTAAACTAAATTAATAGTAACATTTTAACTAAACTATAATAAATTAATATTAACGGATTGTGATGAAATAAAATGAAATAACTAACATATTAAAATGAAATAAAAAACATATTATAAAATATTAATATTAACATTATAATATGTTAATAATATATTTAAGTAAATATTTTATTTATTTATTTTGTTTTATTTGATTTTAATATTTGTTATTTTTATAATTAATAATTAATTTATTTTTTAAATATTAGATGTTATAATAAATATTTAGTTTATTTTTTATAAAAACGTTAACACATATATTTATTATATATTTTTTAATATTTAGTTTAAAAAATATAATAAATATTAAATACTAATTAAGATAAATTTTATTTAACGTTATAATACATTAGTAATGTAACTTTTTAATTATTTGAATATAAATTTTAATCTTTTAATAGAAATTTAGTTTTTTCAATTATTTAAAGTTTTTAATGTATGTTAACATTTTTGGAAGAATTTATTTTAAATATTTTTTAGTTACATGTTAACATTAATTATATAAATATTAATTAAATATTTATTAATATATTTTAATATTTTTTAACATTTTTAATATATTTTAACATTTAATGTTATAAAAAATATTTCATTAATGTATTTTTATGTTATAAATATATAATTTAAATTGAAACTAACAAATAAATATATTACATATTGATTTTATATTACTTATAACATATTTGTAATATATATATATATATATATATATATATATATATATATATATATATATATATATATATATATATATATATATATATATATATATATATATATATATATATATATATATATATATATATATATATATATATATATATATATATATATATATATATATATATATATATATATATATATATATATATATATATATATATATATATATATATATATATATATATATATATATATATTGATCTGACCTGATCAGAAGGGGATCACGGGCCGGCCACACGCTGTTGGACTGCTACCTGTTCACCGGTGATGAGGAGGAGAAGGGGGGGTGTACCTGCAAAACACTCCGATGCCAAAGTGAGAAGTTGGGTAGAGCGATAGCGAAGTACAGAAAGAGGGTAAGAAGTGTGTTACCTGACCCTCTTGAGGAAGAGGGTATTTATAGAGAGACCCCAGCGCTGGGCCAACGGTCATTTGAGATGGGTTGGATGACCAGGCCCAACCCTAATGACTGTTAGGGCTTATGTGGCGTAGTGAAGACCAGGACGTGGTCTTCGCCCTAGTCCAACCGCTCATAGATCTCCGAAAAGTGGGTTTGACCTGCTCTTTCGGAGGTGGGCAGTTGGCTGATGACGTGTCCCCGCGGAGGGAAGCACGTGGAGAACGTGCGCCGGGCACGTTGTTCTCCTCGCGGAAGGGAGCTCGCGAGGTTGGGGAGGAACTAAGGTCTCGTTTCAATGCGTTGGGGTGCGTCCTGTTCGGCTGATAAGAGGGGACGGCGAGATGCTGTTGGATGCGTCGCCTGTGTCCGGTGGTGTGTTCCGCCTGTCCTGCGGGGCGCGCGTGCCCGGCGTGGCCAATTCGCTTATTGGGCCGTGCGAGGTATTGGGCTGGACCGAGGTCGGGCCCAGTCCAGAACAGGAGCCCCCCAAGTCGAAGCTCTGGGAAAGAGCGAGGACTTAAGGTCGCTGTGTCGGGGAGAGAGGTAGCGAAACAGGAGGTTCGTCAGGATTCGTGCGCGGTGGAATGGGCGCTCGCGCGGGGATCCCCGGTCGTCGGCGGAGCGGGGTGAAAGCAGGTGAAGGGGCGCGACTGTCAGGGTTGCCGCCACGTGTCGTGCGTTAAGCGGTCGTAGGGGCTGCTACCCTATGTCATTAATGAGCCTAGCGTCGCTTCGAATCCCGCACCGGGTTATAAATACGGGGGTCCCCACTCATTTTTCTACTTTTCACTTTGCTGTTTTACTTGCGAAGCTCTGAGATCCTTGCTCGTCCGCCGTTGTCGTCGATCGCCGCCGCACCGTTTGGTTCTTCCTCCCGTTCGCCGCCGTTACAAGTGAGTTCTTCTTTCTCTTCTCCTTTTATTTCCGCCGCTTGATTAGAATGCGTGGTCGGGGCATGATGAATGCCCCGAGGAGGGACGCAAGATCCGCCGTATTTGGCGATTTTCTGGTGAATTTCCCGGGGAGAATCGGTTGTTCTGATGAATGTCCCGAGGATGAGGGCTTTCTCCGATGAATGCCCCGGGGACGAGTGCCTTTTCCGATGAATGTCCCGGGGACGCGCGCTTTTTCCGGTGACCGTCCCGCGGAGGGATGGTGGGTTGGCTTTTGGACGCCCCGAGGAGGATCGGCGGGGAGCGCATGTTTGCTCGCTGTTCTCTGGCCTTTGTCGCCCTTTCACTTGACCTGCGGTGGAAGGATGGATTTGATCTTGGCTATCGAATTCACCGTTGTCCTCTGCTTTTCAGGTGTAGATGTCGACCTTGGTACCGGGGACGATGGTCGAAGACAACGAACCCGAGGTCCCGGATTTTGACGAGCGCGTCACCCCGGTCGAAGAATGGATGGCTGGAGAGCCGCTGTCTACCCCGTCCTGCTTCGTGGCCGATGCGTCCGACGTCTATGCCACCGTCGAGGATACGCCTATCGGGGAGCCGCAACATTGGCAGGTGTACCGCCCGAAGGAGCACCATCGCATTTGTCCGCCAGGCCGATTGAGAGTCTCGTCGACGTGTCCTGGCGGAGGATTTGGCTGCGATGATGCGGACGTTCACGACGGCTCTTGTGCTGAACGAGGAGGGTTGTTCTGCCGTCGAGTTGTCCAAATTGCAGGGGGACCTTACCTTTATGCAGTC